ATACCTAATTAAATAGAAAAACTACCCAGAAAGCAAAAACATATAAGAACCAATAAGATACCTCGCTAATACTTAATAACTCCTAAAGAACTTCTACTAGCCTTAAATAAGAAGGAAGTATTAAGAAAATTATTACTTAAACCTAAAGCAGACTAATTTATATTATTAAGGATATAATCTACCTAAAGGTTATAAAGTAATATATCTTTATATATATCTAAACCAGATAAGATTATATCCTATTAATTTACCTCCTAAAGGCTATAATAGGTAGCCTTAAAATACTTTTCCTTTATATAATTATAAATTTTATAAATCCTTAATAAATAATTAATAGCTAGAGCTAAATAGGACTATAATACTATTATTTCCTTATAAAGCTTAAGAAGATCTTTACTTATTTTATCTTTATTATTCTTTAATTTCTTTTCTTATTTTATTAAATTTATAACTACTATAGTTAGTAAAGAAAGGCTAATAAAAATAGTATATAATAACCTATAGGAAGAGGTAATATAAGTACTATTATAAGACTTTTTGGCCTAAATATACTTACTATAATAAGTAGAATTAGCAGATATTAGATACTTCTTACCTGCCTAAAAACAATAAGTATAAGGCATATTAGCTTCTTTATTAATAAATTTAATAGAAAGTATAAGTATTTAGATTTTATAATCCTTATAAGATAACTACTTAGAGATATAGTTAGATATTATAGAATATAATAATAAAAGGTTTAAGTTAGACCTTACTAAAAGAAGATTAATATTAGTTAGGATAATAGGCCTTAAGGGTAAGATTACCAGAGAGGAGAGATTATATTATAATCCTAGTAGTTATATTATATATATCTTATAAAAACTCTATCCTAGTAACTAATTAAATAAGGATTAATAAGTATAGGAATAATAGCATTCTAGGACTATATTATTCTAGGACTAATAATAACCTTATATTATATTACTTTTATATAACTATTATTAGTATATAGAATATATTTATTAGTACTTTTATAAGACTTAGCTTATTAGCTATTAATTAAAGTATGTTTATATTAATAAGCCTAATATATATTACTTAATTATTAAGAGATGTAATACTTTGTATTACTTAGTATTATGCCTTATATTATCTGTAAATATAAACCTAGTATGGACTAGTTTACCTGTTTAGAAACCTAACTATTATACTACCTGTAGATTAATATCTATCTAATTAATTACTTATAATACTTCTTATATAATTATAATCCCTTTTTTTTATAATTTAGTCTTTTTTGCCTTATAGTATTAACTTAGTATCTTATTTATATCTTAAAAATTATAAAGCTTAGCCCTTAATAAGGTAACCTTATATATAACTGCCTTTATTACCTTAGTAGCTAAGTTTAAAGCTTTAATAATAGACTCTAGGGAGCTATTATAATACCTTCTAATTTACCTTTTAAGGTATTTAAATTAAGATTAGGCCTTAATTATTATCTTTAGGATCTTTAAAGCCTATAGTATTAATAATTAAGTAGCCTTCTTAGGAGGTATTAAGGTCTATAGCTATATATTAAGCTTTAATATTATAATTTCTAGGTTAAGAGGAGTAAGCCTAGCTCCTCTAAAACCCCCCTAGATATTACTTTCTATAAAAGTAACTTTAAAGGCAGTATAAAAGGCAGAAAAAAACTTAATCTTAGAAATATAAATTATAAAGTATCTAATTAAATACTTTATTTCTTAACTATAAGCCTTTTTTAATACTATAAAGCACTTAATATTAAGAGGCTAAAGTAGATAAGATATATAAGCAGGTATATAAAGTATAATAATCTTATTCTCCTTATAATATCTCTTAAAATTAGCTAAGTAATAGCTTTTATAACTATTAAGGATTAAGAGATAATAAGGATTAATTAATTAGTTAGTTATAAATTAATTAAAGTGCTTTAGCTACTTAAGACTTAGCTTATTATTTATTTAGCTATTTTAGCTTATTATAATAACCTAATTGCCTAGGAGGTTATATTCTTAGTATTAATTAATAAGGTAATATTAGCCTATATTAATAATAAATAATATAATTAATTAACCTTTTATATTAATTACCTAGATTATAGTAATTTATTCCTGGTTTCTAAGTTATATTAATTTTAGCCTTTCTTATATTTCTAAACCTATAATAACTATTCTAGCTATAATAAGGCCTATTATAAAGCCAGTCTTATTAAAATTCTAGATATTATCTAATTAGATATTATACTTTATAATTATATTTTATATAAGCCTAAACTAATTATAAATAATAGTTAGATCTTTATATTTAGCTCTCTAATAGTTATATCTTTAAAATAAATATATCTTTAGCTCTAGTTATTACTTTATAAAATTATAAGCTTAGCACTTATTAATAGGTAATATATTATAATCTATAAGCAGAGAATTAGCTATTTCTTCTATAAAATATAATTATAAAGGAAATCCTTATAAATCTAGGTTAAGAATAAATTAGATTATTATCTGCTCCTTTAGATTAAATAGTCTCTATAAATTCAGGATAGAATTGCATTATAATTAAATGCTATTTTAGTAATAATATAAAGTAAAGCAGCTAACTTTATAAATATCTATAGTATATTAGAGACTTAATTTTAGGTTATTTTAAAGAGCCTAAAGGGTAAGAAGGATTCTAGCTTTATTTAAGGACTATAATATATTAAGTGGTTAAGAACTAATTAATTAGATAGTTAGATATAAGGTTAAGGGATTTTTAGAGCGCTTGCTTGTCTGGAGTGCTTGCTTATTAACCATGTTATAACTTTTATAGTTTTAATATTATAAGAAATCTTATATTTAATAAGAGCTTTAATACACTTAATAATAAAGTTAAATACTATTATATAAAGTTAATATAAATATCTATCTTATAAGGTATTTAAATTAATTAAACCTCTTAGCTTTACCAACTTATAAAGGATATACCTATCTTAAATTATTAAATTATAAACTTTCTAAAATAGTTATAAAAATATATAAATTAAAGGATAAAGGTAATATTTTTTTCTATATATATTTAATATTTCTCTTTTAATTAAATAGTAAAATAAGCTAGATCTTTTATACTTATTTATAATAGTTACACAAGCCATTAAACCACAGGGCAAAAGATCAATCATAGGTATGCTATAGCTACCTTATAGAAGCCTTACAGCGCTGTTATAGGCACGAATCGTAATATTATTCTCTTAGCTCCTTAGTGCCTATAAATAGCAATTAGTCTATACTAAGTAAGATAAACTTAACCTCTTAGGCAATGCCTACCTTATTATAATTACAGGGAGGTATATCTTTAAGTTAATATATAGTAATAATTAACTAATTTATTTACATAGTAATACTACTTCTGCAAGCTTAATATATACCCTATTTAAGCTAGCCCGCCATCCCTATATCTACTAGAAGTTACAGAAAGAAGTTAATAAGTTTTTAAAATAAGAGGATGCTCCTTATAGCCATTATGCTCTTACTAAACATAAATACCTCTAAGCTATTATCAATAAGATAATACGGCTTTACCTAGCCCTTTCCTTAGGTCTATAGAGAATTATATCCCTGTAAGGCCTATAAATTAACAGAATATTTCTCTCAGGAAATATAATTATCTAAACACCGCCATATACATTGAACCGTGGTAAGTGGCTCCCTAATCCTGTCCTTAGACAGAGCTGACCGTTGTGACTAGATGAAAGATGCTTTGCGCGCCCCAACGATTTCATTCCTGAGCGATGGATAACACAACCCGAGCTCGTCTGCGATGCTTTGGCATTTGCACCTTTCTCGACTAGTGAGTCTTAACAGCCATCTAATCAGGTAATAGATTTTCTGACATTATGCACAGGCTGTTATTCCTATGCTGGAAAGCAAGTTGGGCTTCTTGAAGTTCGGCATGTTCTTTTGCAAATTATTTCTAAGTTTAATATCCGCCTTATGCCTAGCTAAATATTTAAGGTATTCTAAGGCGGGCTAGCAGATGGGTTTATACTTCTCTGCCCTAAGCTGGAAATGATTTCTAAAACGCGGATAACTGCAGATACCACGCTTAAATTATCCACTACACTTCTATAGTAAGTAATTTAACCTGACTTCTTATACCTTCTAATTACAACTACTAACAGCATTATAGCTATATTATAATAATACCAGCTATTAGAAGAAGCCTATAAATACCTAATCCCAATAAGCCTTATTTAATAGAAGGCTATAATATAATTAATATAATTAAAAAAGCTCTTATATAAGATAAGAAGAGTATAAGTAATATCCTTTATATAAAGACTATAGAAATTAGAGATACCTAAGATTATAAGGATAATATTAGTTATATTAGGCTAATAATCTTTAATTATAAAGTCCTTTTACTTATATAGCCTTACTATAAGCTAATTAATAAATACTTCTTAAATCTAAAAATAAAAAAAACTTAGTAAGCTAAAAGGAAAGTTACTTATAAAAGTAAATCTAAGCCAGAGAGAGAGGAAGTTTATTAAGGCCCTTTATAGCAGCTTATATAATAAGTAGCTTAAGTTTAGCTAATAGCAGGCTAAGGAGGTATTAGAGAAGACTAAGCCCTTATAAGGATAAAAGAGGGGTAATTACAGGGTTTTATAAGAGGAAAATATATTAGATTTTATATAAGTTTATTTACTTCAAGTTAATGACTTAAAGTTATAAATATTAATATTAGCAGCTTAAAGAGGGTTAAATAGGTTATAAGATCTAGTATATAATAGATTTAATAGATTAGTTAAATATTAGTATATTATTAATATAAATAAGAATTAAAATTTAAGAAAAGAAAGCTAATATAATTAAAAAAAAGTGAATTAAAAAGTTTTTAAGAGAATTATAAGATATAATATTAACAGTAGTATTATAAAAAGTAAATAAATAAATAAATAAATATATAATCAACCTATAAGGTTTAGCCTAAAGCAGTATAATATTAATTACCTAGCCGTTATACTTATTTAGCTCGTAAAGAGAATCAATCAACTCAACCTTCCCTATTATAGTCTTCTCATCATAGCCATATTCCTCTGCAATTAGTCCGCCAGGTAAAGATGCTTCTATAATCTCCATAAAGTCCGGAATGCAGTGCTCTGGGAAAAGTTGCCTAAGTAAAGCTTTTAAGTCGTCGCCTTGGGCAAGTACAAGATCAGCCTTTTTCCCGGTCACCTCCTTAAAGGCATCCTTCAGATCGTTTGAGCTGTACGGACGAGGGCCGAATATCTTGAGACGCTGCAAGCTGGGATTTCCAGAGTCTGTAAGTAGATACTTGGCGCATGCTTCGCCAATATCCATGATACTGACCATTGGAATTTTATAATCTGCTGGGGCAATCCAAGAGGCGATGCTTGGAGGGTCCCCTAATGGCGCTTGGAAGATATACTTGAACTCTTCCAGGAAATGGGTACTCTGAAGAATGGTGACATCAGGTACAGCGTCTTTGAGTATTTGATCCGTCTCATGGTTGAGGCATGCGAGGCCCTGTGTTTAAACGTCAGCGACTTGCCAGAGTCTCAAATTCTGCTACTTACAACACCACGATCATGTTGAGATCCTAGACCGGACAAGATGACAAGTCTCTTGACGCTTGCGCGGTGCAATGCATCCTTGACATTAGTAGCTGTCTGTCGCGCCCAATCGGCCAGGGCTATTTTTTTTTCATATGTCGGTGGTGGCACATACAAGACCGCGTCAGAGCCGGTGAAGTCAAGAACATCTCCACTCTCAACATCTCCTTTGACGGCCTCGAAATTATGGGTTTCGGTGTACTCAGCAGGAGCTTTTGAGGTGTCACGGTAGATGCCGCGAACTAAAGGCTTCTCTGAGGAGGCTAGAAGCCACCGAATTGTCTCTGTGCCGACTCTGGTCGAGGCGGGGACAACAGTGATATGGGGGGCCATGTTCACAGGATGATATATCGCTACTTTCTGTATGATTTCCTTAACCACTGCTGTCTACGAGCAGCATATAGACTAGGCGAGAGGGAGGAGTGCTCGAGTTAAATAGTTTGCCACGTCAGCGATCGTGGCATTTCCGCCTGCTCTTAAATGAAGGTCTTCAATCTCCGTGTACCCTGTGAGCCTATACTACAGTACTGAGCACTGGCAGCCTCCTCGCCTTAGACTAGGTACTTCGGATACTCAAAAGGACCTGTATCTATGGGCTTAAATTGCTTAGGGGTCGATTATAAGGCTTGATAGACGAATTCATTACTTTCAAAGTACACTTATGTACCTCAATGTTCCCCTCTTGGCCCTGAAAGAGTGCATGATATCATGGAAAAGAGGCTCCAAGTGCTCAATACTGTATCACTTTGTGACAGCTTCTATTGGTCCAGCATTTGATAGGTGAGCTCGCTGGCGTTTTGTGGCTACAGTGGTGCTCTTTTGACAGATGTTTTAGACACTGGCCACCTTTGCAGTTTTTGTAAATACGACTAAAACATCAGTGGTTTAAACATCTGAAAATGATGTACAAACACTGGAATGGCGGATATAACCTTAAATGCTCCGTTAATCCACGGAAAGGGCAGAGACATATGACCCAGGACTATTATGACAAGAACGCCACTAATTACACGGATAATATTCTCTGGATGATACTTAAATTTAATGAAGATATTTGTAATAATTTTAACCCTGTTTATCCTTATAATATTAATCCCTATCTACATATTGTCAAACCGAAACCTTCGACGGCCAGGGCTAAGAACCCACTTAGCGGGATCCATAATCAGCATCTTCAATAATTCATAAAAGTGGATATCGGCAGCGGAGTATCGTGGACCGCACAAGTACTCCTTACCTTCGAGCTGCTGGTCCAGAAGGTTCAGGAACCTGCCGATAGTGACCTTCCGGATCATGCGAGTGTCGGCAATCGGTTGACAGTTACATCGATATCCAGGGCCGGTGGTTCACCCCAAGGGTTGACGTCCCTACGGTATGCGAGACGCCGATTCTCCATATTCATAGTATCAATGCTTTGGACATCGAGGTCAAGCCCGCCGCGCTGAAGAACGAACAGACAGACAACACAGGGGTTGAGGGCTTGTGCATCGTAGAATTTCATGGTAAGTATACGATCCAAGTTTTGGAGAAGGATAAACCTTAGGTTGTAAAGCAGTAAGGGACTCTTTTACGAAGCCTAAGCGACACGGGGTCATAGCTAAGTCCGTAGGACACGGAACATATACCCATGTCCACTGCGCCTATATTCTCACGTGACGTTTCAGTTTCTTCAAATTGTTCTCACCGATATAAAACGAGACACCAAGAATCACAAAAGACAATTGCCAGCCATTTTTCATTTTCTACCTCTTCTATGTCATATTCTATATAACCCAATTAAAGCACTTGGATTTCGTCTGCTATTGGTACAGCCTAGAATACCTACCAATATGGCTTTAATGCGTTGTATGAACACCGCTACGTTTGAGCTCCATACCAGTACTCAAATTGACTTCAAAGAACGAGGCTACGCCATCCTATCCCACCGATGGGGATCAGACGAGATTATCTTTTCCCAAATCGGGAATTTTGCTCAGGAAATGAGGGACACAAAAGATCGACATGGCTTGCCACAACTCGATAAGATCCTAGGCGCTTGCATCACCGCTCGGAAGCAGGGTCTCCAGTGGATGTGGATTGACAACTGCTGTATCAATAAGTCCGATAGCAGTGAGCTATCTGAGGCCATCAATTCCATGTTCAAATGGTATAGTGACGCTGTGGTGTGTTTGACATATCTCTCCGACGTGCGCAAGAGCTCAGGCACTACGGTTGGCTCGCAAGTCTTCCGAAGTTTTGAGACTGGTGAGATGTCTTTGTGGTTCACGCGTGGATGGACATTGCAAGAGCTTCTCGCACCTGGCAAGTTACTCTTCTACGATACAGACTGGAACTATCTCGGGTCCAAGCGGGAGTTAGCGGAATCAATCGAGGACGTCACTGGTATTGCCGCACATTATCTTACCAACGAAAAAGATTTCCGGACTGCCTGCATTGCCGCCAAGATGAGCTGGGCGGCACATCGCGAAACAACACGCGAGGAGGATATGGCGTACAGCCTGTTTGGTATTTTCAACCTTCACTTGCCCGTTCAGTATGGGGAAGGGAAAGGGGCCTTCTTGAGGCTTCAGGATGCTCTGATAGCCAAGAATGATGAATCGCTCTTTGCCTGGAAGATGCCCCTTGAAGGTCCAGGGGTTGCATACCAGATTATACCAGATAGTATGGTAGACCTAGGCCCAGATGAATGGGGCCTTCTAGCTCCTTCGCCGAGATGGTACGAGCATTGTGGAAAGATGACGATACAACACAAGAAGACGGTAATGAGGCAGCGAGGAGGGTTCACCAGAACGCCGCAGGGAATCAGCGGTCCAATATCCAAGCGGAATCATTATGTCACTGCAGTACTAACCGGGTTAACTGTCGTGGGAGCAATCCCTTTCCAGATATGGCTGGCTGTGAGACAGAGGACGACACTTAAATACACGCTCAACTGTTGGGAGCCAAATGAGGCTGGCGCAATGAGGGCTGTGCGACTACATTTGCGACCCGTCAGGAGGGATCCCCCGATGTGGATCAGAACCGCTAGTCAAAGCTATGATTTGGTTAAAGAAGCAGCTTCTACTGATTATTCGGCGGTCGGGACGGTCTGGCAGCCTCAACTCTTTTGATGGTAGTGCTTTAGCGACTATATACATACCCGATTCCACGAGGTTAGAATAGACTTCCGGCTACATGCATAATAAACATAAACATATTCTTTTCCTCATTTCAGGTACCGTACCATTATGCCTTTGTAATTGCCAGTTCTTACTTTATTTTACGTCATAGCAAAGTAATTTTAACACAATGGATTAGAGATCCGTATAAGCCAATGGACCTAATGCTGAAAGTCTTATACACATGCTCTGATCACGGCTCCTGTCAAGCAGAGCCAGAGAGGCTTATTACCACTTCTGCAGTATAGGCTGCTATATAAACTACTAATTTATTCATACCATATCTCAGTTATAAGAATATTATCACATCTTCTTTTATTAGATAACTAGGGCCTCCAGAAACGCAGGCGCCCAGAATGGCAGCACCAGTAAAAGGTCGGGTTCTTAATAGGCGCTAACACCGGCACGCCATGATGTCATTCCAGTAGTCATCACCTGCACTTCAATCAGGTTTCAGCTCTAATATAGGCTTTTAGCTCCACCATTCGACTCATGGATTTCTGAGGGTATTAGTGCCGCAGTGGACTTCACCTCCATTTACGTGATGGGACATGAAATCGTCAACGAAAAGTACCTTTATCCCCACTTGCCCGTACACGTCTTGCACCGCCTGCTCAAGGGTATCATGATCATCAACAATTGGACCCCAAGGCTTCGCAGTCAAGCAATCAGGTCCGATGATAACACCATTGATGGCAACCAGAAGGAAAGTAGTCAGTTGACTCTGTCCAGGAGCGGCCCTGTGTAGGCGCGAGGGAAGTCCATAGAGATTGAATGGCCAAGGATATGTGAAATTCTTGAAGAGAGCGGGGATGTGCAGAACTTCGTTGTGAGGCAATAGTACTTCTTTAAGCAGAAGCTCTAGGTTGTGGTTGATGTACTTCTGTGCATACTTCTGCGTCTGCAAGAACTCGTCGTTAGATAGAAGCGCATAGATAGTAAGGTTCTTAACCCTAGAATCATAGAAAGAAAAACCTTCTGGTTGGCGGAGATTGGGATAGCTAGTGAAGATGGAGCCATGATCACTGTCTTGTCCTTTTCTAATGAATTTAACAGAACTTGGGTACCCGCAACTGCGATCGTCCTGACAAGGCAAGGACTGGACAAATTCGTCAACATGTCCAACGACCAACTAGCCAGTTTCTAGGATGAAGGGAGACTCGTAGATCTGAGCTTCTATAAGGCTTGTCATGGACTTGGCTGGAAGCTTATCAAAGTGCTTCCTTATAATGACCCTGCCTTGCGTATATGATGTCCTGTTCTTGGATATGCACGGTGGGATAATCTCGATGTTGCTACCTAAGTTAATCTCCTCGTGTCTAAAACCAGACCCCAGCGACGGTTGATGGCCTCCGACTCTATCACCTCTGAGAAGAAAACGTCATACAGAGCAAGCTCTGACCATATAATTGGCCAGAGTTGCAACTGTCCCCCGATGTGGTTAAAGCTGACCTCAAATCGACTTCATCTCTCCATGATGGCTACTTATGAAATATAATAATGGCCGGTTATCAGATAACCCATATGATGAGCAAATAACCTGTGCTAATTTCCATCTATGGACCATGCTTACTGCCCTTGATTCCCGTTGCGATTGCCCCATAAACAACATACATGGTATATCCCTAAGTCGTCTTTTAACAGTTCGGACCTCTCACATTACGACCCCGACGACTTTCCAGGTAACGCCAGCATTCAGCTTCAGCTGCATATGAAAGGTGGGGGAAAAAAGGCCCTATGGCTCAAATGCCAGTGATGCATTCGCTTCCGCCTGATGTCACCGCTGAGAACAAAGGCCCTGCTATAATGGCAGTTATATATTCATTCACCGCCCTTTCATCCGTCACTCTCGTACGCAGGGCCTTTCTAAGATATAAGAAGCTCGGTCGCTTAGCCATTAATAACTACGTTATAATTCTATCTCTTGTCGGTTCCCTGCTCTATTCTCTATAATACCATCACCCGAACTCTAGCTACCGCGGGCGATAGAACAGGAATAACTGCTGAAGGCTCGATAGGGGTTTATATTCACCTACGTAGGCTGCTGGATGGCCACCATCTTAGCCGGTAGCGGCTGCCACTAGGCGACTCTGACCGTCACCGAATTCGATCATTCTGTATTCTTTCTAATTATCGGCCTGATCCCAGGCATGCTGTTGCTTACGCTACCCAAGTTCGCTGTCGCCAGTCTACTAATCAAGATGCTCTTCCTATTACCCCGGTATGTCAGTTACTTTGGGGCCTTAAAATCGCAAACCTTATCCTTATGCTTAGCGTCTTCGGCATCTGCTTCTCAGAGTGCAACCCGCCATCAGCTCACTAGACTCTATATGCCCCTATCAATTATTATAGTTTAGCTACCGTAATTATCCATTCAGTTGTTATAGGATGTAAATGGGTCCTTATCCTCGAGAGCGAAGTAAAAGGTGTCCGATATACTAGTATCATAAATCGAAAAGCGGCAGCATTTTCGGCCATAGTCGACTTCTACCTTGCTATATACCTAGCGATAGTACTATAGTTATTACATATGCATCTAGAAAAAGAAATTGGCTCTTAGCATAGCCCTTGGCTTCGGTGCTTAATTAGTACACCGTCGCGAGCTACTCCCTGTTAAATCTTAACGCAGACTGATATCTTCTCTTAGTGCTGGCTGTGCTGCTATATGCAAGGTCACGACAGTTCCAGGTATAAGAGACGGTAGAGATTATACTTATGAGCTTATACCCTCTGCACAATAGCATAACATAGGCACCCCTTACTAATAAAGTCCTACATAGCCAGATGATTTAGAGAGCCTTATAATCTAGATAAGCTTTATAGTCTCCCTGGTGCTATCTAGTATATTGCCATTGACCTATTCCCATGATCCGCAGTATCGAAATAAACAGTGTTATAATCGCCGCCTGCATCCAGATGCTCCTGCCCTTCCTTAAACTATTATTTGCGAAGAGATTTTTATCCGCCCCCTATCTATCGTCTTTAAGTCGAGTAAGTGATGCGAGACCTGGAAGCAGGATGAGAAATCTCAGGGGAACCAACAAGCTAGTCGAAATACGGCAGCGGAGAACAAGCGACAAGGTAGAAGAACGCATGGAGGCCGTCCTGCTCCTCGAGGAACCAGGCCGAGATAAGGAAAGCGGCCAGAACTAGACGGCAGACAATATTCGTCAACCTAAGCTATAGCTTACATAGCATGCTATTATTCGACCTAACTAGCATTACACAATATGCAAGTCAAAGTATTACAGAGTCAAAGCGTACTTCAGATTATATATAGTTGCAACAGCTATACGGTATCTTTATCTAAAATAATTTCTGAAGCCCGTCGGGATCCCCACGATATCATTCTGAAGGGTGCACGGAAAACCGAGTTTAATTGAACGAAGAGGTATTATCCGTGAATGCCATATCGAATACAACGGAAACGAGCGGGGTCGGTACCAAATTCGTAATTTAATCATCCTTCCAAAATCGAAGGCTTTTAAGCCTTTTTTTACTGCAAATAAAGTCCTTAAGCCTGCCTTTTTTTTTTTTTTTTTTTTTTGAAATTATAGCTTCGAGCGCCCGGAAACTAATTGGTTTTGCGTCGAGGCATCTCTTTTGGGCGCAGAGGGTCGTCATCTGTCCGGTCTGCAACCACATCTTCCTCTGACTCTGTGGGCTTAGGACCTGCATCCCCAGCAGGCATTCGGATCGTGTGGTGCTTCTCTGGAGGAAGTGGATCTTCTGTCGAGCGATCCGCGACGACATCCTCCTCGCTCTCAGTCGGTGTACCGTGGGTAGCCTTTTGCATCGTCAGTAGCCATGAAGGTCCAGCTGAATATTGGTAGCGGTGTGAAAGCGGATAGTCGCTGCCTCGGGCCACAGTATGTAAATAGCTCCGGTTTCCTACCAAGGCTACCGCAGGTATCCAGAATGGACTGCTAGTTGCTATGGCGTTTCTGGCCAACTGTATGAATGCTCTTGAGTTCCATAGTAGGCGCCGACAATACTCCGGTATAGCAACGGCCATTTTTCAATGATGATATGACGTGGATTGAAGAATAGACGAGAGAAAGTCTAATGAAACTTGTTGTTTTGGGAATGTGCAAATGAAATTGTTTGAAGTAATGATTACAGTAAAGCGGGCCAACGGCGATTTATAAATATGGGGAGCCGTTAAGCATGCGGGGTAATGCTCAATCTGAATTCCGAGTACAGTGGGCTCAGGAGCATGGTGTGACTGTGTACAACGCTTATAAGCTTTTAACGGCATGGTTGTTGTGGACGTTAATATTATCTCCATGAGAATCGTGGCTGAAAGAGCAGAGCCAGAGCAGCGGGACAATATTCGTAAAAAGCCAGAATCCGTCAAGTTTGCTGGCTATGTAGCTCTAGGTACATGAGGACTTGAGGCCCCCTATAAGAACTAAGCCAGCAAGGTTTCTATATTCATACTGTCACTGGATCCGGCCATGATGCAATAATGATTTAAGGTGAGTGGCTAAGGAGTGGGGTGATAAGCCGCAAATATAAATCCAAGGTTTATTATATGATTAGAAATTGCAAGACAGGTGTATTTCGGATATATGGAAGCTACAAGAAGAGCATTTTAATACATGATGTATGAAACATGTGGTATTGCAGCCGCAATCTGAGCGGAAGTGTGTGGTCGAGCGAGTGATTGCCTAGCTCGCTTCCTGCGCCACCTGGGATCTGTCTGCTTGATCCACATTCCAATGAAGAAAATTATGGTGTACCTGGCTTTGTGTGTTTTTTCCTGTGGAATAGATTAATGATTCTATGTTATGTGGAGGAGATATCGGTGTGGAAGTGTGGTGCTCATAGAGGGGGGAGAGGAGGCAGCTTGGAGTCTTCATCGTTACGTTGCGTAAGATCAACGGTATCAACGTCTTCCTCACCGAAACAAGAGTTATTTGAGTCTCCTGTTATAAAAGCATCGGGAACGAAAGTCAGGTTATCGTCAAGAGGTGGACCCTGTGAGTTGCATAGTTTGAACTCAACACCATCACTTGACGGCAACTTGGACAAACCTTGAAGAGGGCGGATGCAAACATAAGCGCCGGTGACATCACGAATCCGCTAGTAAAGGGATTATTAAATAGAATATGAATAACATTATTTCTTACCTTTTATATATATATAGAGACTAAGCTCTATATGGGTTATATTTTATATCTTATATTTTACAAGATGTAGAATATCCAGCATGGATAAAAAGCCTGAGCAAAATGATTTAGATAGTAAATAGCGCTCCTATCCTATCCCTAACCATACGTCCTTCCATATCCTTCCTCCTGCAAAACCCGCAGCTCCTCCATAGGAAGTCCAGCAGGTGGAGTCCACTGGACAGTGTTCTTCGCTCCTTGAGCACCTCCTTCCTCCCCGAATGCATTCTCATGCTCAAATTCATCTCTCAAAACCTCGCGAGTCCATAGTACTGGCCTCCCTTGGCGGCTCCTAAGCCACCATCGTTCCACCCATTGACCTTTTAACTCTTCATGACTCCTCAGTAGATTTTGCGGGTGGCCCCATTGCCCACGAAACGTACGACTGGTATTATATAGGCCCGAGCAAAATACACTGGACAATGACGTGCTGTGGTGTACCGCTCTGCGGCACAGGGTTGTCAAGACGTTGTTCCAGCCTGAGTAACCGGGACGGGGTCCAAGCATGGCGTTATGCAATTCCAGTCTCTCAATTCCTGAATGATGCCTCATGAAGGCAAGCAGGTCTTCGGCGTCAAGAAAGAGTCCCCGAAGGATCAGAGTTTTAAGCTGGCGAAACTGGAGCTTTGCGTCTACAATATGCTTGAAGACCGCCTCGTAGTAATGAAGCCTTGAGCCTCCGTCATATGCCTCGTATTCAAGGGTCTGGTACATGTGCAAGTCCAACTTCTGAAGATTGGGCATATTCTGGAGAAGACGTGAGATACCGGGGAAGTTGTCACGGTAGAGGGATTGTGGCATGGTGTCTCCATAACGGCCTTGTATCTCAGATCCTTTCTCGTCCAAGATACCCATGTCGAACTCCGTGTCCGAATCCCAATCACTATCATCCGTGGTATAATCCGCTCCCTCGGTTGTTGCGATGATACCATGCATATCTTGCCAGTCGATCTCCTCCCGAATCTCTTGCCAATGCAAACGTTGCCTCCTCCTCTCAACTGCTGCAACCTTCTGTCCATAGACTTGTGCCAATCGCTCCCAGCCGTGGTCCATCCGCGTGGAAAAGCTAAAGGCTAAGTCTTTAACAATGGCTGACGATCGTGCAAGCCCGGCATCCATCAACCCTAGCAATCCGACCGTGACATCGTAAGACGGTACACTGCAGCCTGTCGTATTGGTGTATATAAGCAAACTAGAAATGGCCACGCCGCTTCGGGCCCAGGCCATCATCGCTAGGCGGTAAACCTGTGAGGCTCGAGCCCACAGTCGCTGCCGATCTGAATCTACGATGTGTCTAGCCACAGGCCTAGAGAACAGACCCGGTCCATCGACAAATCGTGCGTCCAATTCGATGGTATCTAGCAGAGAATGCTCTCGCCATCTGAGGATATGTGCAAGTCGATTCACGACTTCTTCTTCTTCCTTTTCTGTCCTGAAGGGCATTTCATATGCCTCAGCGTGGGCTTTCATCCACTCAAGGTCCACTGCTAATTTCTTTAATTGTTCGTCAGTTGCTTTGGACATTGGTTTATCAAGCTGCACAAAGAATTCGTCTCCATATAGATTTGTGAGGGTCGACTCAGCTGTGTGGTAAAGACCAGTAGCCAAAGTGTTCTCGGCGGAATCAATCGCAAAAGTCTCAGAAATAATCCGGATATGACGGACATGCCTGCCGAATACATCGTCTTCCATAAGGGCCTCGATAGAAGACAGACTCGAGGGCGTGAGATTTGTAGACTTTTGTCCGAAGTAGCTATAAAAGCATGGCCCTAAGACCAACTCGTTCATGCGCCTGTTTATCCGTCTGAGGTTTTTAATGCACCGGAGCGATAGGTTGCCGAGGATTTGTTCAATGAGTTCCCGTGGAAGCTGCAGCAAGCAATTCTCGTCGGGCTTCATGTTAGTTGTTACATGAGGTGTACACATTTTATTAATGAGAAAATCGTTGGCTTGAGGAAACACCCGAAGCCAGACAACAATTAATGTTACAGTTTCACGCCTCCGAATTCGTCGCAGCAGTCATATAGGATGGTGGTGTTCAAATTATATCACAGCTTATTAAACCACCTTTTTGGTCCTAGCGGGGGCACCTGACGAATAGGAGGCCACACAGTGTACCCTTTAGAGCTAACAGGGCCCGCTGGTGGCTATGGCAAAGTAGCGGTGAGGGCATGGACTAAGAGGCGCATGCAGTTTACCTCAGCAAGCACGCGCCAACCCCAGGCTCAAGGTTAATAAAAGATTATCACATGACTTCACAGAGTTTATAAAGTTGCTCGGTAGATATGAAAAGTATTTCAAGTATAAATGTAGGCAAAAGCCGCTTGAATATAGATTACAAGACTAATAAGTAAGTGTATGTACTGAAGGTTTATTTATACAATATGCCTATACTTACAGAGCAGCTATAGATATATAGTCCCTTCTCGTTCTCTATACTCAGATGCGTTACTTTAGTCGTGTCGTATCTATTAAATAAATCTCAGAAGCTTTGCCAAGAATTTTAAGCATTTTTATGACACGAAACTGGCGTATCCTGTATCTCATCTCTTCGTGGGGGGAATGCTCTATCGTCTGTCCCTTATTAACATTTCTTTTTCACTATCAAGAGCACGTCTTGTTCGTTGAATTCACGTCTTTATTAAATATTAAGTTACAAATATAATAGGGCATTGGGATAGTCGCTCCCAAGCACACTCGTAAAGATTATCATACGTGAATATGGTCTTGCGGTCAATCATCTGATGTTGGCCGGCTCTCATTAGCTAATTCCGTCATACTTCCTGTCTCAAATTTATTCGAGGTCGTATTTGCCCGGAAATGGGGAAGGTTATGTCTTCGAGGATGGTGATTGCCACCAATATCGGGCGCCATGCCGTCCATAAGTTCTGTTAAATGGGGACGTTGACCCTGTCGCAGGTCAGTGAATAGATTCTTGCACGTACTCTACGAAGTGACCATATAGATGAGCGCATTCCTAAAGCCCTAGAGAGGGAGTACACAGGCACTCATAAACCCGATCGGGATAAACATGCTATTGGTGTTTAGGACGGAATAGATACGGTTGGCGCTTGATGGAACCTATGTAATAAGGATAGCGGTGAAAAATAAGAGAGAATACTTGGTGTATCGCCAAAATGCGTTGTTTAGCTATCGGTTCCGTCGTTGAGCCGGGTTACCACCAGAACGTCGCTAAGGAACCGCCACGCTAACTCGAGTCTGTTGCCGCTCAATTGGAACCCCTTTATCGGCAATGTCTCTAGAGTTGCTATGAGCTGAAATATGAACCAAATGGTTCCCGTTCGAGTTCGGATCGCTAGGGTCTGTTGCTTGGCGGCTCATGGGTTGCAGGTGAATCGCATTCGGAGTCATGGCCTCGGAGGGTACCGACACCTCGGTGGTCTTAATTATGCCAATATTGTCTCCTCCGTAGGTGAGATGCCGATCCGTCGTGCTAAAGTCGTCAAGTTCTCTCCGTTTTTGGTAAATCATATTTCCAGCGCGGATATACATGAAGAAATTGACAGCAATAACAAAGCCTGTGATGTTCAGCTTTATGCTATTTCCAGAGGGGAGGCTTACTTACCAGGTAGGGCCATAGAATATGATGATGCGCAAGATATCCCTCTCGGAAGTAACCCAACACTATAGCATATCATTGCCATACATTTACTGCCCTTATTCTTAATAAAGCTATAGACAAAGTCGGGGACAAATGGAACACTATAACAGCCGATTAAATAAGGGATCTCCATTTTACGGAGCCTTTAAGCATCAAACTTTGAGTAAAATGTCAAACACACATTATTAGCCATGGAGAGGCTCCAAAAGGCGTCAGCAGGCATGAACCTAGTCCTTATTAATGTCTCCTAGCTTAAACATGGTGTATACCTACATCTGGATCAGAAAGGCTTAAAATTGACAGCCTACCGATTCTGGTGAACTGATATAGTGCCGCGACATCAAAGTCCCGACATTGGTCAACATGGTACCACAGGAAGCGTAGAACACTAGATGATTAAGTGGTTTATGGAACGCCTTGGATGACACATGGTAGTAATAATGAAGACAGAGCCGAGTAACGAAAACACCGATCATGTTCACTCAACAACACTGAGCACGAGTCTGCGAATCCGAAAGAGTTTCGGACGCCGACATTGTGAAGGTGTTGTGATTTGAGGGGTTGGGTGGGAAGGTAGCTGGGGTGGCGGTAATGGAGTCCTAGTACTGTGGGATCGGTTATCGAGACCTAGTGAAAACCCATGTAAGTCAATTCACTAGGGAGCGATCATTTGTTCCCATAAATTTGGGTTTCCACTGTAGTTGTGAGGTGAAATCTGAATGTGTAGGATGCCCAGTGAGTTTCAAGTGACCAGTCCCTCTGATTAACATGTCTCGTTTCGTTGCACTTCTCAAAGAAATAGACTGGGAGTCAGAGACAATACGATATGAAATATAATTTTCCAAATGTATGCTCGAGTCGCCTTTCTAATGCACCACGGTTTAATTATGCTCCTCTCGGTCAGAGTATATATTAACAGGGTTACGTCCTTTCAAAGGTCCGTATTGGAAAGTGCTAAGAGAGTTTAGAACATATACCGCAAAATACAAAGTGACCACAATGTACGTCCGTAACATCCGTAAAACCTTTAATTAATCGATCTAACCAACGTTACGTCTGTGAAGTTATTAGCCACCCTTAAGTAAGCCTAAATCTTCTAAATCAGCCTATTTAGTCTGAGATTCAGAGCGTGTTTCTTATGTTCATAATTATTGCCTAAGAAAAAGGGGTAAAAGCTTAAAAATAAAAGCTACTTACTAATATTTATAATAAGATCTCTTTTATATAAATTATAAATGTTATCTATTTATTAAAATATGCTTATACTCTAATATTATATAATACAACACAAATAAAAGGCAGGTATAATACTACTTTAGGTATTACAAAGTAATATAATTTAAATAAAACATATACTTAATATAATATTTTACATAATCTATAAATATAAACCTAGTATAGATTAGTTTACCTGTTTAGATACCATAAACTATTACATATATAAAACAGAACTATTATAGTTAAGTGCCTGCTTTTGCACTTAGTACTGGTCTCCCTTTTGCGGAGCTTGAACCACTCTAGGTTGGGCAAAAGCGAGTTCTGACCAAACGTGGCCCTGATAACTATTCGCGCCCCTATAAGAGACAGCACCATACCGAACCTTTCTGTCACCTATATCTTTCACTAACCGACTTACATCCAAGTTCGAACCAGATCCGGCGAGCTCCGGCGCGCTAAATGCCCTCGCGATCTCGATAGGCGACAGCGAGACGTCCCGCCCGAGACGCCACCAGTACATCAAGAGCGGGACAACAGCAACAGCAGCCAGGCCGATGAGCATCAGCGCCAGGCCCAGAAAGAGGAAGTCAGATGTGTACACCACCTCGGTCCCTTCCTGCGAGACACGGACCGACTGAGCTGCTACGTACGAGTTATTACCCTGCAACGCAAGCCGGAACATAAGCTCCCGCGCTGTCATAAGAATATCGTGGGTGGGATCGAGCCACCGGTTCTGGCATAGGAAATCTGTATCTGTGTCCTCCTCAGCCCTGCGGCTGTATCGTAGGGCCGTGATGCCCGTTGTTGCCATATCGTATCCCACGGCACCCGCCCAGCGCAGCGTCACCTTGGCCGAGAACATACCCTGGAGCGCCAGAAAGATGCCGCCATGCAACTGCATCTCGCTCATCTCGGCGTATTTGATCAGTCTGTCGTCCTCATACGTGTAGCCGCGATCTAGCGCAATGGTGCCGTTAGCGATAACAATACGGTATGCGAGCGTTGCAGGCACCATTATGCATTCACGAACCGCCACGTTGCCCTTGCACCGGCCATGCTCTTTGAACTTGGCCGTCAGGTTCATGACGGGCTCTATGGCGCGCAATTCCTGGGTCGGTTCATAGATCATGTAGGAAAAGTTCGTGCTAAAGACGGTGCTCTCATTGAAAGCTGAGTTACCATCCTCTGCGACCTCATCCGGCTTTCGGGGAGTCTTATCGAAGAACTCTGTCCCGTTAGCACATGCCATCTTATACCCAGCCGCTTGCAGGATACCACGGCATATTGTCGTCCCCTGGCAGGGCAATTTCTTGAGCCGGATCGGGGCTGACAGGAGGTGATTCTGTAGCACGGGCGCGAAGGAGGGCGTTATATAGGTGATCTGGTGAGCGCGCCCAGTAGTCATGCCAGTCGTGCCTGAGGTGGCATTAAGAGATAGGGCCGCCACGATAGGGATGTTCATGTTGGATGCTATAGGGCGGCTGACAGTGCGCGATGCCCGCTGCGCAAGCGGTGCATTAGCAGGCACGAGGGCAAGCAGGACAGCAGCAAGGGCAACGAGATTAAAACCACGCCCTGCTAGGAGCGCCGACCGCAGGCTAGTCCCGAACGACCAGATATGGTGGAGGTCTGCCACAGTAGTTTTACCATCCTCCCGCAGAGCCGCGACCCACCACGAGATTTCGACGCCCTTATTGAAGGTGTAGCGCAGTACGATGTTAGCAACTACTGAGGCGATGGCGAGGTATACACCTGGCGACACCGGCCAATTGTCGATCTGGTCGCCATTTGACTTGAGAACAATGATGATCATGAAGAGAGCGCAGCCGATGCCGACGAAGAGGGAGACAAACGCGTCCCAGGGCAGGCGACGCAGGAAATGCGCGCGCCAAGGGACTGTTGAATGCGTATGGATTTGTTCATTCGGATTACCCCCAAGGACAGGATGAATGTTGGCAGGCAATGAGGCGACAGCCAGGCTCGTTATTGATTTATTATCTGGAATCGAATGCATAGTCGTTGGAAAGTCAGTGGGTCGTGCGGCTTTATTATCACCTATATTCTGAACCTACTCTCTATAGTCAGAGTGCAGTGGGGAACTACTTATTTATACACAACAAAATCTTCTTCAGCCTTATTTCATACCTAGGGATTTTTATGCCTGTAAAAAGGAGCTGATTTTGGTTTTGTAGGGCATGATGTATTAGCAGCGCTGTGGCTTATAAGCTATTGAACGCCTCTACCATAAAGCGGCAGCAGTGCGAAACCATGAGGCTGTCAGCGAATCATAATAGGCCAGTAATTGTTGTTGTTGCTGGAGCAATTAGTACAGGGTATTCTATCTGTTATAAGATTAAAATATATATGCCTTTTTTTTATTTTTTATTTTTTACATACCCACAAAAGGTCAGAGTATGTAATAAGTTTAGATGTAGTTAGTTTAAAGTATCGGTTTTGGAGTTTTTTTACAAGTGATCATGGAAGTGCTTACTCTTTATTTTACGATCCTACCTCCCAGTCTGCTTCGTTATTATTACTCATTCCCTGCCATTCCTTGTCACTCCTTACATCTGAGAGGCTGGCTTAATCCCGCCCCTGGCAAAGCTGAAAATTAAAATGCGCTATTGACGCATCCCTCAGCCGTCCTGATACGATATTTAGGGGTTCCCTATGATGAGCTTTGTCAACAGGGTCTCTCCGTCATTTCTCGCTTCTGAAATCTGGATAAGCAGCAGTCGGACCTCGAACCTAGCGGATTCCGTCGAGTTGAAGGGTACCCTATAGTTGCATTGAGTGGTTTTAAAGGGTATTTATAAACTTTAGATCTTTAGTATATGTAGTACCTCAACCTCACCCCCCCCCCCCCCCGTGTTGTTGTACTGTGTTGTGATTATGTGTTCGTCTCATTGTGTTGTCTTGTCATCTGATCCAATTTATTACTAACCAGCCGATTGTGGGTTGAGGCCACTTGTTTAATTAAGGTTCGAGGCAACAGCTGCGTGATCTGTTGACTTGATATTAAGGTTACTGTGTTTTTTGGTGTTGTATATCATGCCTTTTATTATATCGAGGCTAAAAACCTTATATTGTGTTATCTTGACTATGCAACCTTTGCATGACTTTTAGTATAGCTGCAGTTAATTTATCTTCAAATAGTATCTTATTAAGTTGAACTATATAAGTTATTTTATAAGTTACAACAAGGGCCTTCGTTAATTATCCACCTTTAGAATACCACTCTATTAATATTTAAAAGATTTATAAAATTACTTACAGAGTCCGGTATCCTGCTCCAAGAGCATATACAAGGAACTTAGTTCGATGAGAGGAAACCAGTTACCTCCGGCTTTGACGTTATTTAATTTGACAAGTTCTCCGGCTTTGAATTAGTTTAATTGGTTATATATTCTCCATTCTTCCGGCTACTTGCTCGCAAACCTTTACTAACGCAACACCCTAGGGTCGTCTACTTTTCGTCCGTGCCAACCCTACTACGACTGTCATAAGGGCTGTCTATAATGTAACGAATTACACATGATCTGGCCCGTGCATCATGGAGGTTCTTCTAAATATAGGCAAGATCCTCCAGCCTCCCTCCTAACCCTAACCCTAACGAGACACTGTGGGGATTGATAGCGGGAACTAGCATTAAGCTTTTCTCTTTTCTCAATCACGCTACCTAAGCAGGAACGAAAGATGGCATGGTGTTGCTAATTTAGCTTATGGTAAAACATTGCTGACGGGAGGAAATCGTCGAAC